CCGACGCACTCGCAGCGCCGGCATCGTCATCAACGAGGGCGGCCGGCGCGCCCCCTCGTCGGCTCCTCCGCGCTTCGTCAAGCCAAAGACGGAGCCGGGGCTGGCGACGGTGAAGACGGAGCCGGGGCTGGCGCCGGTGAAGGCCGAGTTCGACGACGACGACGCCGCCGCCCTCGAATGGGCGCACCAGGACTCCATTGCGACGGAGAAGGCGCGCCGCGAGAAGGAGAAGGAGCGTCAGCGCGCCGCCCTACGCCGCTTCGAGGAGCGCCGACGCGGCCGCGAGGAAGGCGGGGTCGTCGTCTTGTGCGACAGCGACGACGACGACTACGCGCCGCCGCTTGTTCGCCATGGCGACGCCGGGAGAGGGGTCCAGCAGGGGCGCCCGCGTCAAGGAGGAGAAGGCCGACGACGACGATGGCGGCGATGGCGGCGACGACTTCAGCCCCTTTCTTTTTTTTAGAGTAGGTTCATGTAATGTTTGGCCGAATTTCACCGAAATTTGTAATGTTTGGCCAAAATTTAACTAGTTTTTATCATAACTTCGCCGAACGGTTCTGTGTTTTTTTTAAGATACGCGCCTGGGGGCGGCCCTGGGGGCTGACGGCTGGGGACCGACTCGCCCCCAGTGTCATTTTTTTCGCCGGCTCACCCCCAGGCGGCGCTTTTAGACGCCCCCTCGGGGGCCAACGGCTGGAGATGCCCTTACATTGTAAGGTCTTGTGTGAACAATTAATAAAATGGTTGCATGCATCGTCCAGATCAGAGGCCGGAAGTCTTCCTCCATTTCTAAAAATAGTAATTTCTTTTGACATTTCCGACGGGAATATTGGTGCCAGAACCAAGAGGTGGACAATGTATAGGATATCCGATGCACGGTAGAAAATCCAGTCTCTACGTACCCATGAGGCCATGACTTTGATTAACACCGGGAACGGTCCTTGGGTCCTATCCATGATATCCAAGGAGACCCATAATAGTTCTGCTCCACGGTCTGATGATAAAAATCAACAATTTCTTCCTACCTTCTTAGGGTGTATTTGGAGCCAAAGTATTTTTGTAGTTTTACAGGAATACCGTGAAATACTGCAGTTTAACAAACCGTGGTATCTGTTAAACTGTGGTATTTTTGTAGTATATAAAAAAGAGGACCCGACCTCTTTTTTTTTAAAACCGAGAAACGCTGGCTGCTTGGTCTCTCCGTGTCCATCTTCTGACCATCAACGCATGTGATACATAAATCGATAGCTAGCTGATCGATCTGTCCGGCTAGTGGCTGCTGGCTGAAAACACACGGACACACGAGCTGCAGACGTCGATCTTCAGTGCATGTCTTAACTACCTCGGTTTTTGATTGATTACAAGAGATAGCTGTACTACAGATCCTAGCATTAGGAGAGAACATGCTTGTGCAAGGCTAAATGCATACGGTGGCTATTAGTACAAGCTGATATGTGAGTGTCGCTGAATATGCATGTAACAATGTAATAATCGATCCAAACCAGGAAAGAAACTGAGAAAAACGGCCACTTGCCAAACGCGTCGGCAGTTTTATCAAAACTATGATTATTAAAAACTGAGGTGTTTGTTGCCCATGTATTCAAATACTTAGGTCTTGGAGTACCATGGTTTTGCAAAAACGGTGTTGCCAAACTAGGTTTAACATATATTCGTACGCATAGTAAAAACTGACTTTTCGAGCTCCTAATACATTGATATGAAGACATTGGGGGTGGAACTATTTGACAGTTGCATTGGTTTCATGTAACAACGAGATTATTCCATCATCCCAAATCCCCTACAAGTTTATGCGTCGCTCTCTCACGCGATCGCACAGGTCATCAGGGGCATCTGGGTGGCTGGCGTGTGGGACTCTCGCTAGAGCTGGCGTCATTCGCGTTTCGTTAATCGACTGTGCGGTCGCATGCTACTCCTGTATGGCGGGTGAGTCATTTCGCATGCAGATTACAGCACCCACGGCGTGTGGGGGTGAATTAATGGGTGTGATGAACTGTTGGTGGTCGGATCATGGGTGGGACCCAGTCGCTTTGGCGGTGGAGTCCTTGCTGCATGCATGGGTCCGGTTGTGGGGATGGACACGGTGGTGCATGTACTCCCCTGCCTGTACGGTGGACCCGGTAAGCGTTGGTCCATCTGCAGTGGGTGTTCTCATTGTTGGTGTCTGTTCGTTTGCTGCAGTTTTACCAGTTCGTAGCGTTGTTCTTAAAAAATGTTCGTGCGGTGGGGTTTGGCCGTGTTCGGCCCTTTCCTGCTCCCATTCCCGTACTCTGTCTTCGCTGCAGTTCCTCTAGCATTTTTCTCGGTTCTTGATGACGTACTCGACGGGCAGTTCTTGGCTGGTGGGTGGTTTTGTGGCTGGGTGCGGGTGCCCCTGTGGTTTGTCCGTCGCTGGGCTAGCGGTGGCAACTGGTGGCACGCTCTGCGGCTTCATTTCTTCTCCTGCCTCCTTCTCTTCGGTGATGGGCTTGCGTACATGCAGCCGTGTTTAGTTTCTGCTGTGCTTTCTTTCACTTGTGTTTGCTTACGGATTTGGGGAGGAAAAAGTCTAAAATAAACCTTGAATTTGTAGACGAAAGCTAAATCGACCCTTGAACTTTCAATCCCTGAAATAAGAACATCAAACTTGTCGACCCCGATCTATTTTGAACCTTGAGTGCGTTCCCAAACAGGGATTATGAATGTGGCAGGTTTAATCCCGGTACTGTTCAATGTGGACGTGACTGGGTCGGCCCAACAGGCGGGAAGTGAGATTTTGTTTTTCTTTCCCGTTTTTTCAGTCTATTAATTTTCTTTGTTCATAATGCAAGGACGAAAAATACAAACTAAATAGACAATACAGAGGGATCGAACTTGAGACCTGGCACTACTGAAAACTCACGCAAGCCGCTACAACAGATGGCAGTCATTAATATAATGAGATGCCCGAAACATTTAACAACAGACCATAACATCGAGATTAGAAGAAACATTTTAAAGGGCAAACAAATATGGAAAACCTAAACAATTAGTGAAATCTCTGGAAAATAATTAAAGTGCGACTACTTTTTAAAATTCTGAATACTTTTTTGAAAAAGGACAACATTTTTAAAACAGAATAAGGGTACACTGTTTTAAACATAAACAATTTTGAACCTGAACAATATGTTAAAGTGCGAATACTTTTTAGAAAATTTTAAAAATGGGAGCAACTTTTAAAACCTGAACTATGAAAAAACAATGTATATTTTAAAAAATGAATAACTTTTTTAAAACAGAATAAAGTTTGAAAAAAGAACACTTAAAAAAACAATAGTTGAAACAATGCGGACAAATTCTGAAGCCTTAAAAACAAATTAGAGTCTGAACACTTTTAATTTTTCTAAAAAAAAGGGAGCAACTTTTGTAACCTGAACAGATGAGTGAAAAAATCTCAATAATTTTTAAAATATGAAAAAGGTTTTGAAAACAGAATCAGTTTTGAAAAATTCAATACTTTTTTATACATATTTTTTTGAAAAAATAGGAACGAAATTTAAAACCTGAACAAAATTTTAAAGTCCAAACACCTGTTTTTTTTTTCAATGGGAGCAACCTTTTAAACTATGTAAAAATATTGTATAGTTTTATAAAAAAATTGTCTTAAAAATGTTGAACGTGTATGTGGAAAAATGTTATTGTGTATTCAATAAAATGTTTAAAACATGTATTTGAAAAAATATACATAATGTATTTGAAATATGTCAATAGTTTTCCAAATAATATTCAATATATGTATTAAAAATTTAATTTGTCAACTGAGAAAAAATAGATGTGTGTACAATTCTTTTTAGTTAAAACCGATAAATAAACAAAAATAAAAGAAGAAGCAAACAATACGGAAAAAAATCAGGAATAAAAATGGCGAAGGAAAAAAGAAAGCCGAAGGAAATCAAAGAAAAAACGAAAAAAAAATAAACCAGAGCAGAGCTAGCGTGCGAGCGACTGCTCTAATGGGCCGGCCCGATTTCACCAGCTACGTCAGCGAATACCGGTGAAACACTCTCAAGGTTTAAAATAGACCTGGATCGAAAAGTTCGGTGCACTGATTTCAGGGATTGGAATTCAAGATATGATTTAGCTTTCGTCTACAAGTTTAAGGTTTGTTTTGGACTTTTTCTATTTGGGGATGGGTCAGCTGGATGTGCGCTGAGTACGTGGGCGTGCCTCCGCCGTTATGGGAAGGAGAGGGACCGGGAGCCCACATCGCCAAGGTGGCTAGGTCGCTGCCATGGCAAGCTGGTGGACGCCATGTTGAGCCCCGGCTGCTAGGTGCTAACTGGTGGGCACGGAGGAGGAAGGCCGTGATGTCTTTGCATCCAAGGCAGAGCGCCTCCTGTGAATGGGCGCCCCGGCGGCAGCGAGCGTGCTGGTGTGTTCCAGTAATCGTGCTGGTGGCTAGGTGTGCCGTGTCCGTGTGTGCGTGCTTGCTGCTGTATTTGCATGATGTTGTGGTTGGGAGGTCATATGCGTGCGTGCGTGCGTGGTGGCGTTGCCGGCGTGTGTGCATGTGTGTTTGCGGCTGTACTGCGGAGAGGCTTAGGGAGCAACAGCAGCACCACCATGGGCGGCGGCTACGACCAGTAACAGCAGCTACAGCGTAGGAGGAGTACGACGAGCAGCTGCTGTGCCGGCGAGCTGAGAGAGTTGACATTCCTATTTCATTCCCCGGATTATATGACCTGCCAAATTTATTCCCTCTAAATTAAAGGTTATTTGGCATTGTGTTTGGTAGTACTCCCTCCGTTCGGAATTACTTGTCGCATTTTAGTTCTAGATACATCAACTTTCGCGACAAGTAATCCCGAATGGAGGGAGTATATGAGTTCGCACAAACGGAGTGATTTATCTGCTCTTAATGTTTTTGTTGTGTGATGCAAGCCCAGCAAACCCACTGCAGATCACGCTCTTGTAGATGGGCGCGGCAGAGCGCGCCAACCCATCTAGTTATATACATTCAGTCCTTAATATGTATTATTATCAAAGGAACTTGCCTCAACTGATGTGCTCCCTTGCCCGCGATATACATACTCCAGCGCTCCCTTGCCCTGCGATTAAGAGAGTTTACAAAGTTTTAAATCAAACTGTATTTGAGTTCACATGGACTCTGAAATATTAATTATGTTACTCCCTCCGATCCAAATTGATTAATGTACCCTTTATACAATATTCTACAAAGATTGTTTAGAGGCTATGTCAATTAATTCGAATAAGAGGAAATACCATTTTAACACAATACTCAACAAATTCATCTAAATGCATGCATCACTAACGTGACCTTTCCGTGCAAAACAGACGTGAATCTTATTCATTACGAGTTAATAACACTATCTAGTGTTAAAAGTGATGTAACCCTATGTATACTGCATCTTAACAATAAGTACAAAGCGCAAAAAAATCCTCATTTAAAAGTGCAAATATTACACGTCTCGGGCATCTTCATTTCTAATGTTGAAATAATCCTCGATGTATTTTGAGGGTTTTTTTATTGAGAAATGTTTTTTAAGGTATTGTCGCACTGGACTGAACTTACTTGTAGTGCGGATGAGCAACCTACACCACCAGTTCATTTAGCACGAAACCCAATACAAAATTGCTAAGACCTCTTCCAATGCACCGGTGCTTAGATAAGGTATGCTAAGCGCATTAAATAGTTTAGCAACTATTGTCTTCAATGCATAGGTGCTTACCTTGTTGTAGCTAAGGCTGGTTGTAATGGAGAGTATCATATGCTAGTATCATGCATATGATACTAGTGTATGATACTACATCCGTAATGCATGGTATCATATGTTGGTATCATATAGGACTATATTTATTGTCATGCATGACACAAAGTAGCACATCATTTCATATGATATAGTATCATGATATGATACTCAAGGCTCTCTTGCTTCATTTAATTCTATGCCACCTCATCAAAATTGCTTAGTTGGCATGCATGATACTAGCTATGATACTCCCACTACAACCAGCCTAAGCTCCCTTCATTTAATGACTTAGCTACTAAACTCACTCATGCATTGGTGAGCTTGCTTCATTTAAATGTTTTGCCTAGGTTCACGCGCTTGGCGTTGGTTCTTCCTGGGGTCATCAAACCCATCTCTCTCCTCTTAATTATCTTGCCACATCATATTTTTCGTCTACACGACAGGCTTAGCACCCCTACAAGGTGGAGCATTGGGAGGGGCCTAACCCCTCGCAACGCTGGAGCGTTTTACCCTAGGCTGTTATTCCCTCCCTCGTATTACTCAACTAGTGTACATCACATTAATGCAATTGCATGCAAATCTAGAAAAAATGATGGAACATTTCCTGTAAGCCAGACCGTGCCTAGAAGGCTGGTCATAGTGGGAAGTAACTGAGACTAGTAACATGCATTTGTTACTAGTCTATGTTACTACCTTCATAGTGGGTAGTAATATATGGACGCTAACATGCAAGCCTTCATTAATTGAGATATAGACTCATTTTACCTTGGAGTGTGTTATGTTACAGTAACATATTATGTTACCACAAGCATCTCTTTCCTCATTAACTCCATGCCACATAAGCAATTTTTTCTTGGATGTGTTATGTTACTACCTAAGATACTCCCACTATGGCTAGCCGAAACCGGAACGTGAGAGCAACAATTACACCTAAGGCTGGTCATAGTGGGGAGTAACTTAGACTAGTAACATGCATATGTTATTAGTCTATGTTACTACCTCTATAGTGGATAGTAACATATGTGTAGTGTCATACGTCACCTCATTTATTACTTTGTAGACTCATTTTGCATTGGGAACCGCTATGTGATGATAATATATTATGTTACTTTATTTGTCTCTCTCCTCTTTAATTACATGCCAGATCACATTGTTTGCTTATGTGGCATGCATGTTAATACCTATGTTATTCCCACTATAACTAGCCTAAGATAAAGGGCAGATGACCAGAAAAACAAATAAGATAAAGGGCAGACCGGAAACCCATATGTTACGAGAAAACATTCATATCTATATCTATACTTATACTAATTAAAGACTACCTATAAATTCCTGCATTAATTCGATTTTACGAGCCATTAATCTGATGGGAACAAGTTATTATGTTGTAGATCTTTCGATATACTAACTAGCATATCATGGGAAAAAACTGATTTGTGACTCCCTATAAATTTTCGCATTAATTAGATTTTACGATACATTAATATGGTGGGACCAAGTTATTACGGAATAGATCTTTCGGTATAACTAGCATACCATGGGAAAAAGACTAACATATCGTGTAGAAACCATGTGTGGCACCATTCCTACTATTAGGCACGACTCTTATCTCTTTCTTTTCCTTAAAAATTAAAACGAAACAGATTTCCTATTATCGAGCGTGCCTCCGGTTGGTTGAGTAAATTGCAAAAAAGAAAACCACAATTGTGCAGAAGTCATCAAACACCCACCAAAATGCATGTTTTTTGGTGTTTTTTTCCTGAAGCATTGATACCTTTGACCTAATTGTGGTGGTTTTTTTAATTTACCCCCGATTGGTTATATGCCGGTGCAATGTGGGGATCCGACTATGGCCATTGGCGTTCTTCTCCTTTTTGAAGCCTCCTCGCTCTCCTACGCAGCAGGTGCGAACATCAGCAGGATTGTACATGACAACACATTACACGTACAAGGCGCGCTATCGTTGCAGTACTCCACTTCGGCGTTGTTCGCCTCCGTGGTGCCGTGATGGACTGGCGCAGGAGCGACGGACTCCATCGCCAATTCGAGTAGGACTGTGTATGTTTGGACATACATGCCAGGAGATCGATCAAGTACTCCACGCCGGCGTCATTGGATGTCGCAGTGCCGTGATGGACGGGAGCAGCAGCGATATACGCCATTGTCAATTCGCCATCCCCATCCAACATAAGCTGGGATGCGTGGGCCGTCCCCCGTGACATAAACATGGGGTCGAGGCATGGACTTAGCTGGCGCACGTATTGTGGAACGTCTTCTATAGGGCTTGGCAGATGTTTCATGTGCTCTATGGTTCAATCCAGAATCAGAGACAACTCTTTTTTTTTTTGAGAAATCGAGAGACAACTCTATATGATCTCACGTGAGAACACTGGTCCGGATTGACTCCACAAAATGCGGTTAGTTTATGTTTGATTGTAGCTGCTACTGCCACACATCGTTCACAGCCTTGCTGCTTATTTTGTTCATAAGAAATTAGGCAACCGTTTAATTCTTAAAGAAAAATCTACCATAGTCTAGCACACTGTGATGAAGATTTACAATATAATTTTCAGGATGTTCAAGGTGATTGAAACTCAGTTTCTTGATCTTTCATGTCATTAAATTAGTTGCAAATTGCAGGAAAAGATGACGGCCGCCCAAGATATTGGAGCATCAATAAAGGTTATCGGAGGTGTGAAACAAGTTCCTTCTTACATGTTAAAATTGTTCAGATTTTCCCCTGTAAAAACTGCAGGTGGTTCTGTTGCCGTCTGGCCCTATGCCCATGTAACCAAGTGCAAGTTCTAGGAAAAAAAGTCTCTTTTCAACTTGATACAATTCTGCGAGGATGATAGTTCACTCAACATTTTTGTTTTAGCGTGTGCAGAGTCCAGACTCTATATGTGACCCAAAAACTATTGCAAAGAAGATATAAGATTAATAAGTGGTGTGTTAGCTTAGAGCAAATTAAGTTAGACTTTGAAATTATATATTGTTTCCTCAGGATGACTTGAATTGCCATTTGGACTAGAAAAAATCTGTCTTTATATCATAATAAATCTAACCTGTGGTATGACCATATTTTTTAAGCTATGGTCTGTTTCTATCCACCATCAGCACTCAGTTATGTAATCTATGATTTATTAAAGGCACAAGGTGTTTACTGTGATATGTACTAACAGAGTCCCTTCTGCACCAAAGAAAAAAAAATGTGTATCCTTAGCTCATTTTCATGAGCATGTATGGTGTATTTCTATCACGTTGTTGTTGTTATTTTTCTTGCATAATACAGGACCAGGGAGAAAGGAACACTAACACTGTTTTCACACTGGATCGGCTTATAGTTAGTTCTTTCTCTTAGTTGTGGCCATGCATGTGGGGCTCTACCAAAAGAATTCATGTATTCTAACCACACTGTCGTTATATATGTCTCTGTAGCACAATGTTAGGTATCATATTTTTCTCATTCTCAACATAAAAATTAGCTAGATTTTTGTTGCTAGCTGATTTCAATCCCTATACGAGTGCTTCATTTTATTAAGGTTGCGATACTAAATAGTTATGTTATCCTTTATGTAATTGTTGTTGTATCAGGTTTAGAAACTAGCCCTAAGTGGCACTATTTTATCTTTGTGGTTAGATTGCTTGCTTGGTTCACACATTTTCCCTCTTGTCTTTTCTCATTTGATATTGTACGGATGGTTTTGTTATATATTTGATTTTGGTTACACCTTAAGTCTAGCCACAGAGTATGGTTCCGCCATGGATGTATATATGTTCATTTTATCTGGTTGGAGTAGATCAAAAAATAACATTTATTTTTTAGTGAGATGTGAAATGTTCATTTGCAGGAAAAATCAAACATTTGATTAATGGTATTATTATACTTCAAATTGTTCTGCACCTATATAACACTATGATAAAACTGGAGCATCATCTGTCTATACAAAATTAAGCCAGACATCACAGTTATTATATTTATTTTTTTGTCTGACATGCGGCCATGAGCGTGGGAGTCTGTCAGAATAAGTTCACTGATCGCTGATGTACCATGTTTAGAAACTGGCCCTGAGTGGTACAGTTCTAGATCTCGAGAGGTAGATTATTTTCATAAGTGGTACAGTTCTTGTATTGTATGCTTTCTTTGCAATAGGTACGGCATTGTATTCTGATTTAGTTGCTATTGTACAACTGATTTTATCGTGAATATCTCATTTTCTTTACCAACTATTCTACTTACACATTTAATTTCAGTTCTCACTGGTAGAATTAGACCAGAAATGCACATTCAATTTTGAATGAAATAGTAAATGTTCATTTGATTTTTTAAATTATCCACATAATTTTTCACATATATACAACTGTGCCACAATTGGAAAATCATGTGTCTACAGAAACAAAATGATTCAGAACATCATCGATTTAGAATGTTTATTTGAAAGAATCACTTTGCTCCTTTTAATATTGCTAGCCCGTGCTACCACACGGGTTGACTACTAGTTTTTCTAATATTTTACTGTCTAATCGTGACTACTGTAACTAAAATTGTTTACCATTGCCTGAATTAATGAAGCCCTCCTTTCCTCCATTTCTAACGAAAAATAGAAAATAATAGTAAGTGACAATTGTGCCATCATTAGTGATCAAACCTTGTTCAATGTTGACCCAGTATGGTTCATTGAAGCGCCAGGGACTTGTATTGCAGTTTCCGTCTCATTCAGAACATTAATGATTTCACCTATACTCGGTCTTTTATGTCGATCTGGATCCACACAACTTAAAGCTACTTCGATGCATCTCTTTACTTGTTTGGAATATGGCTCTAACGCGTAAACCGGTGTTGTTTGTAGATTGTTGTTCCAGTCAGCATGTACCTACCAGTGTGGAACATAAAGCACGGGTAGTGTATCAAATATATGGAGGTATTCATGAAATATTCAATACTTATCTCAATAAAGACAAACATTTAATCTTACATTTTCGATGAATTTTTTAGGACACGTTACACCACTTTGAAAGTAGCTTTCTGGTCCTGCCATTATCTTAATAATCACCACACCCAAACTGAATATGTCAAACTTGGTGGAGATTATACGGTCGTCTATATATTCAGGTGGTGCATACCCACTGCATGATAAAATAACACATCATATAAATTACTGATACATAGCTATTACACAACTTACTGCAGCATAGTGTGTGTCTATAATTTTTATATTCACTTGGATGATTATGCTTACGGTGTTCCTATAGCACAGTTTGTGAATTGTGATTCTCCTGGGAAGAGCCTTGACAAGCCAAAATCTGCGATTTTGGGCTCCATATTTTCATCTAGCAAAACATTTGCTAGTTTTAAATCCAAATGATACATAGGAGTTTCCAATTGCTCATGAAGGTATTTCAACCCCTGACAAATTCCTCTAATTATTGCATAGTGTATACGCCAATCACACTCCTTAAAGTTATCTGCACCAAGAAATAACAAGCATCCTCAAAAATTATATGTTATGAATGATTCTAAATGTTGTACCTCATGTTACAAGTAGAAGAACACCATGCATCATACCAGTAAGAAAATTGTCAAGGCTTCCATTTTGCATATACTCGAAGCAAAGAGCTCTCTGTGGTGTCTCAAACAAAACAGTGTTTCCATTATGAGATACGAATTCTCGCCGAGTTTCATGACTATAGCCAACTAACCGCACAATATTTTTGTGTTGCAGATTTGCGAGATTGAGATACTCCTTCTTAAATGTCTCATCTTCCGGTCCATGACTGTTATGAAGCAGTTTTACAGCAACCCTTTCACCATTTGTATGGACTCCCTATTCAACATAGAAATGCATGCATGGTTCAAAGTTCTGTGTGCAGCTATATATGCAACATGTTTAAGTTGAAATCTGGCAACCTCCTGAATTTATAAGCATGAGGTGGCGTTACATTCTGAATAACAGGGAAAAAACTGTGCAAAGACTGACGACTTATTTACCACACGTTTGTTTGGTGTGCAGGTCAATTCATAAGTGTGTCAACACTCAACAAACACCTTGTCTAACTATAGGTAGCTAGCTAGAAACCATGCATGGGTCTTACGTTGTACCTTATAAACACTTCCGTATGAACCTGTACCAACTTTCATGTCCGGAGAGAAATTTTTTGTAATTTCTTGTAATAACTGGAACGACAGAACCCTTGGCACTCTACTTGCATCCTCCATGTTATTGCTTTCTCCAGTAGAGAATGAATACAAATGGAAACCTGAAAAAAAAATCATATGCCTATATTTTAGAGATAGAACAAGCAATAGCGATTTTATGGCCAATCTAACTGCTTCTCTCCTTGTTGACCCTTCATCAAATGAGCAATCGTGCTTGCAGAAAATCTGATAAATCTGTTTGATGTATCAAAATCTCAAAACCAGCACTAAAAATGATACAAGATTCTGTTTGGAGGAACAAAATTTGAATCAGAAGCTACTGTATATTCAATGTGAACAAGTATGTGAATAACTACTTGAGAGATTGCCGTCGAGTGTATAGAGAACAAGCAAGAACTCGGAAACTGCTATGCAGATCGAGGTTCAGACGTCCAGTCGTGCAATTAAACTCTGCAACGAAGATACACAATTTGTGTTAACAATGATCGATGTAGCAGCGAAGTTTTTTTTTCTGGATCCCCTTTTTTTCTCGGTAGGGGCCGGAAGTCCCGGTTGCAGAAAAATCTCGGAAATTTCACCCAATTTTTTCAAAGAAAATTTTAATTAAGAAGTTTTTTGCTGTCAAATACAAAGCAAAGCACCTAGTTGCACTCGTTCTTGAGCTTGTTCCAATGGTTCTGTAACGACGCGCATAGTGCTGAGGTCATGTGATCTATTCCCGCGCCCACATTTTTTTTCCTTTTTTGCACCGGCAGAGAGTAAAACACCAAAAAGATAATAGTATTGCACGATGTAAACCTCGATCCTCAGGACCTTCTGTAAAGGGAATGGTAGCCATTTCCGTTGGAATGAGCTCTGTTCTGTGTTCTTTTTAACGTAAGGAACCTATATGATCCTTTTCGGATTGAAATTCAAATTTATTCAAAAAAAAATTCGGCCGAGAAAAAAACCCTGGAACCAACGTGAAGCGAATCCAAGACTAATTTAACATACGAGTCATGGATGATAATTATGGTGAATGAATTCAAAAGTATAATAGAGAGTGCTAGCTATAGACATGTTGAACAGAGCTAGAGGATTTCTCAATACATCTTTTAACAGGAGGAGCGAAGAGAGAGCAAAATGAATCTAGACATACCAGTGAGCGCTTACAGCTTCGTAGACCTCCGGCAACAAGAAGCAGGAGACTCGCAGGATGAGCTGATCTGTACTCCAGCTAGCAGCAGTAGGTGTTGGTTTTATGGTAGCTGGCTAGCCAAGTGCCGTGTCTGATCGGGTGACCTCGTAGTCAGCAAGTTGTGCCACTTGCTGTTTCCACTTGTTCTGTCCGCCCGCCTTTTCTGAATGGAATACAAATTTTCTTCACATGCGAACAATCTTGACCAGCGGCCAGCTGCAAGTGTGCATACGGTTGAATTTTCATCCAATTTCTTAAAATACCTACAAATCTGATTTTGATCAACACCGTCTGCTTGCATGACTACATTGTCATTGAGACATTTTACGGTGCATTGCAATACATGACAGGGAGTGTGTTATATGGATGACCCAACTAATGAGACTAACTGAACCTTATTAAAGCCCAAGTATATTTTCGACAAGAAACATTATCTAAGTTTAATTGCCCCAATTCGGTCCAGGGGTATTATCATCCTAAAAAATTGAATTAACTTAACTGCATTTACATCGCACTTAACTATAATTAAACGACATCGTACGTGGTCATTTGAATTTGGGTTAGAGCGGTTCTCATCTAAATACGAGCCCTAGTCTCCGTCGAACACATAACCGCTCTCGATCGCCGCCACGCGCACTCGCCCTGGCACTCCCTCCTCCTCCTCCTCCCCTGGCACACCCTATTATCCACGCGATCCTCCCCGAGTTATGCGGCACCAGATCTTCCTAGGAGCTGCCTAATCCCCTCCTTCCCCGACACGGAGCCCCTCCCCGACGTGACGCCTAATCATCCTCATTGCCGTGACTCTCTTAAAACGAGAGAAGTACAAATCCTCTTAACACCACCTAACTAGTGACTCTATTTTGTGTAAACATTTTTTTTGCTTGTAGACTAAATATATATATAAAAGCTCAAAGCGAGAAGATTACATTACCGGAGAAGACATGATGAAACAGAACACGAAAAGGAGATGGACAACTCCATGGTTAACGCGTTATTAGAAGAGTGGGCGGAAAAACAACAATAAAACACAAGCGATAAAATCATATTCGTTAAATAATTCAAATGTATGAAGACGTGTCGGAGTAAATGACCACGGGTAGCCTATCAGCCCCCCATGGTATTTCGAGACATCGGTGCTAGCTGCGCCCCTCACACCTTCAAGACGAACGACCATCTTCTTGGGCCGGCTGGTCTGAGTGGCTGGCTGCTAGAAGGCGGCAGAACCCACATAAGGCGGCCACAAGGGGAGCCGACTCCTAGAAAGCGGCCACGTGAGGGCCGACTCCTAGCAGGCGGCCCCTTGTCTTCTCAAAGTTTGCACCTCATTACCACGACGAGTCTGGGCGTGGCTACAGTGCCATCTGCCACCCTCGAATCCAGGGCAAGTCGTGGCCATAGTACGGTGTACCACACGGACATCCCACGCCCTGCGCGGCACTGTTGCCACACCGCCCGTGACATCACCGGCGCCAGAGGGAGCCATGCTCCCACGACGGGCGGTCGGTACGACCCTCAAGAGGCGGGCCCTACCTGTCCATGAGCTACCAGAAGGTGGCGAACCCTGAGCAGGCGGCTTGGAGGTGGGCCGACTCCTAGCAGGCGGCCCTCCCTCTCCATCGGAGTCTATGCGCCATCAACCAGATAAGACGGGGCGTGGCTACAGTGAGTGCCCGCCAGGCGGCGGGACTGTAGCCATGCTCCCCCCGACAAAGCCTCTGTCATCAGGGGCGAGGCTACAGTATAAAGCAGTCAGCATGGCCCGCAGGCGGCGGGCCCTACCTGTTGTCCGAGATCATGGCAGTTGGTGGGACCCACCAGGCGGTGGGCCCCAGCAGCCGGCGGCCAGAGACACTGACGGCTGGGTCCTACACCTAGCCGGATTACCATTGTACCCCTGGGGGTAGGCCTATATAAACCCCCCATGCCACCCCATGCAAGGGGTTCAGAACCTTAGAGATCATACACACCACATAGAGAGAGTGAAGTAGGGCTAGCCTTGTTCTTCTTCCTCCTCTAGCCAAACAGCTCAAGGAGCAAGCTTGTAGCTACCTTGTTGAGATAGTGATCATGCGGAGACCCCGTAGAGTAGGACTAGGGGTGTTATCTCCTAGGAGAGCCCCAAACCTGGGTTAGATTCGCAGGCGTACGCGGTCTTGCTCACTCCCGCTTCTAGAGCCCGGCGACGTACTTTTGTCCCCCTCCATGATAAGTCACCCCCTGGCATATGTCGCATGATATCCCCGACATTTGGCGCCCACCGTGGGGCAAGGTGCACCGTCGTCCGAAAACATGTTCTGGACGGGAACCCTTTTCCTTCTTGGCGAGTTATACGTCTCCAACGTATCTATAATTTTTGATTGCTCCATGCTATATTATCTACTGTTTTGGACTATATTGGGCTTTATTTTCCACTTTATATTATTTTTGGGACTAACCTATTAACCGGAGGCCCATCCCAGAATTGCTGTTTTTTTGCCTATTTTAGTGTTTCGGAGAAACAGAATATCAAACGGAGTCCAAACGGAATGAAGCCTTTAGGAACATGATTTTCTCATCAGATAAGACCCAGGAGACTTGGACCCTCCGTCAAGAAAGCCACGAGGCGGTCACGAGGGTGGAGGGTGCCCCCTCCCCCCTAGGGCGCGCCCGCTGCCTCGTGGGTCCCTCGAAGCTCCACCGACGTACTCCTTCCTCCTATATATACCTACGTACCCCCAAACGATCAAATACGGAGCCAAAAACCTAATTCCACCACCGCAACTTTCTGTATCCACGAGATCCCATCTTGGGGCCTGTTCCGGAGCTCCGCCGGAGAGGGCCATCATCACAGAGGGCTTCTACATCATCATAGCCTCTCCGATGAAGTGTGAGTAGTTTACCTCAGACCTTTGGGTCCATAGTTAGTAGCTAGATGGCTTCTTCTCTATTTTTGGATCTCAATACAAAGTTCTCCCCCTCTCTCGTGGAGATATATTCGATGTAATCTTCTTTTGGCGGCGTGTTTGTTGAGACCGATGAATTATGGGTTTATGATCAAGACTATCTATGAATAATATTTGAATCTTCTCTGAATTCTTTTATGTATGATTGGTTATCTTTGCAAGTCTCTTCGAATTATCAGTTTGGTTTGACCTACTAGATTGGTTTTTCTTGCAATGGGAGAAGTGCTTAGCTTTGGGTTCAATCTTGCGATGTCCTTTCCCAGTGACAGAAGGGGCAGCAAGGCACATATTGTATTGTTGCCATTGAGGATAAAAAGATGGTTTTTTTATCATATTGCATGAAACTATCCCTCTACATCATGTCATCTTGCTTAAGGCGTTACTCTGTTTTTAACTTAATACTTAGATGCATGCTGTCGATGAGTGGAGTAATAGTAGTAGATGCAGGCAGGAGTCGGTCTACTTGTCTCGAACATGATGCCTATATACATGATCATACCTAGATATTCTCATAACTATGCTCAATTCTGTCAATTGCTCAACAGTAATTTGTTCACCCACCGTAGAATACTTATGCTCTTGAGAGAAGCCACTAGTGAAACCTATGGCCCCCGGGTCTATTCTCATCATATCAATCTCCATCACATTATTATTGCTTTGCTTTTTACTTTGTCTTTTACTTTTCACTTTGCATCTCTATACCAAAAATACCAAAAATATTATGTATCATCTCTATCAGATCTCACTCCCATAAGTGACCGTGAAGGGATTAACAACCCCTAATCACGTTGGTTGCGGTTGAGCTATTGTTTTTGTGTAAGTACGAGGGACTCGCGTAGCCTCCTACTGGATTGATACCCTGGTTCTCAAAAACTAAGGGAAATACTTACGCTACTTTGCTGCATCATCCTCTCCTCTTCGGCGAAATCCAACGCAGT